TATTTGTAAAATGATATCGTACTCGAGATGTAGTGCCAATTTGCTCAGCATTGTATGCAAAGGCCTCGATCGAATCTCAAATTAGTTACCGCTTTGGACAACTACCCTTCTACTTTACAGGGTCGTCTGATAGGCATAAACGTCTTCAGAGATGAAACACTGATTGTGCATCCGCTAGCCATTGCAACACATTGAGAAGGCTACATAAACATTCGATACCTCACTACGTTTCTAAATAGAAGTCGAATGCGTGGGCCACTTCCCATAAGCGAGTAGATAAACACGTGAAGCCCTTCTTTTTTAGGCTCATCATACTCATCCAACTGATACCTCTACATCCTTCATCACGGGAGAATCTTGTTCCTTCTGTTCAACAGGCGGCTTAGGTTTGTCTTCCCGCTTGTTCTCCTTTTCGTTCTCCTTCTCTTCAACATGACTTTCTGTTGGTATTATCAATGGAGCGCCTGCAAGACTGCACTAATAGCTCGTCACATCTAGCCTCGTGTCAGAAGTACGAGCACTACCTCCACCGACAAAGTCCATGAGATCGAACAAGTCAGCTGAGTCAAAATTGATTTCTCCCTGTTTCGCTAAACCGTCGCTGATAGGAGTTGGTTCCTTGTTTTCTTGCGATTTCGTGGGTAAAACCAGGTCCAACCCTCTCTTCATACCAGGTGCGCATACAAGAAGATCTAAAGTGTTTACATAAATTACCGTCTAGGCCTAAGATAGTCAAAACCAACCTTCGCGACGAAAAAATGCGTTTTCGTCACATTCAGTGGTTTCTTCGCTACCCGTAAATGCCATAACATTGCCAAAGGCACTGTCGAAACCACCTGAAGAGTAACTCGGTAGAAAGATAATTTAGTAAATCGAATATCTGCTTATGTAATTCTCCACCTGGATAAAAAGGCACATTACTAGAGGAACCCTTAATGCTGGTGGTGTCACTGGCTGGTGACCTGAAAACCAATGACGATTATACCGAAAAAGACCACAATCGGATAATACTGGACGTCAAACCTATTCAAAGACATTGACACTGTTGAGGTGCCGAACTCGTCCGCATCTCTGATATACTCGACAACATCACTGAATTTTCCTTCTGAATCGATCAGAGGGCAGAGTAACGTCGCTGGCTCGGTTGGCCGAATGATGCCATCCAGAAGAGAAAGTGGATCCACAGATACCTTCGTTGGATCCAAACTGTACAGCAAAGAAAAACCATTTCATTGCTCAATACCAACAACTTTATTAGAACGGAATCAACCAACTCACTTATATGTATCAAGTGTCGAATATTCACCGGGAGATAAAGTTAGTGTCTCGATGCAAACGGAGCGAAGAACATAATCAGCAGCGTCGCGAAGTTCATCTACGCTCATGCTACACCCTTTCACCTGGAACAATTTCCCAATATAATTCATTTTGAACTGGTATCAAGGCAGTTATCGAAATTCATGTTGAAGTAGGGCTATGTATAACTGCCTTGATACTAGTTATAAATAGTGCTGGGATGCATATTGGTTAGACTCCCATTAATTACTCTGTAACAGTTTTCCCATGTCTGTGCTTTAGAGGTAAATACATTCCTTCTTCTTTCTTATCTGAGTCTTTAAACTCTTGGAATGGGAGATATCCGCTTGCTGAAGGAGGTCTCTTCAATTGTTGCGACCCAAACCTGATGAGCACCCGGTCATGAAAAGATACATCGACTGAGCTGGTTCAGCTTACCACCTTGTGACGGTGCAAAATATACTGGTCCTTACGACTATGTCAGGGACCTACAAAGTCATATGGCTGACCAACGAAGCTATCAGAGGTAAAGTACGGCTAGTTAAAGGTTAATCTGGCTGCTAAACCAACGTTGGACGCGACATCATGTAGTATTTAGCCTTGACAGGACGGGGCTATGCAACTTATAAGAGGGGAACTGAAGAAAGAAACTGTTAGGTAAGACATCAAAAGGCACATCCCGTGCTAACCCTCGTTTTCCAAAGGCCGTTGCGACAGGAGAGTCAGAATCTGGCACTACATAAGCAAAAGTGTCTCCAAACGTTCCGAATCCCAAAGAGTAAAAATTGAAGTTTCCACAGAAAGGATTCCCCCATTGCGTGGTACAGGAAAGCAAGACAACCCTTAAACTCATGATTCCTACTGGACCAAAGAGAGTTACAAATAGATTCCAACCTTTCTGACCCTTTTTTAGGATTCATATCGAACTTTAGCTTTCTTTGACCTAACTCTTCGCCCGTAGTTTCCTTCAGTTCTTTCTCCAGCGCCTAGAAAATCCAACGCTGACCTTTATACTTCATACACNNNCCAGCGCCTAGGAAATCCAACGCTGACCTTTATACTTCATACACCCCCCTACCCAATATACTGATAGGCCATTAAAGAACGTGCCATTGAACAAACTCTGAACAGAAATAAGTAAGCAGTTGTGCAACAATGAAGAAATATTAATGGAACAGTCTATCACATCAGTGCTGAACGAAGCAACTTCATCAAATATCTACTATTTATTACTTCATACGTCTACGACAAACACCAAGTAAGACGACAAAAGCAAAATTAAGGATTGGAACACAAATTGGAACCAAGGTCACGGTAACACTCTTATAGTTAAATTGATTTTACAGCGTTTCATTAAGATTAAATTAAGATTAAAGTAACAATAATTAACAAAATAACAACGAGACAGAATCCACTTATAACTGAGAAAAATCACAGATAGTTCAGATGGCCACAACGCAGCAACCGGTCCGTCAAAAACTTTTAGAACATATCCCCTAGAAGAAAATTGAGAACTCGGTCAATAGTGTAGCAGGCGACGAGATCGAAAGCAACACAGTAGACAAGAATGTCCCGTAGCTGAAATAAAATCATCATGATCTCTTTATCCAAAAAGTTCTACTCAGTAATCTTAAGTCTCAATACGAAGGAGTTTGATTGAGTATTTGGCCTATAATGACTTGTGGGGAACAGCTGATGGGCAGATCGAAATCATATTCCAAAGAAGAGCCTATGTACCATCAAACAACGAATTGATAAGACCAGTCATTGAAAATCAGCGCTTCTCCGTGAACGTGAAGGCTTCTGGGCCAAACAACAGCATAGGGGACAGTGGAAGATTTGGCCGACGNATCCACTTACCCCACACTGATCAACTAACCACAATAAAGAAGACTGATACAATGAAGCTTCACGAACCTCCAGAGGTAACACCACTAATTCAAACTGTTGCATAGCATCATCCGAAGCGCCAACAGCTAACATGAAAACGGATACTCCTGAGATCAGGACACTGTAGAGCATTGCTTTGTTCTCTAGTAAGGATTCCATAAAAGGTCGTCCCTAAAAGCTGATTGCTAGACGGAAAGAAAATTCTATAGAGTTATATAATTCTTTGCCTTACCCTGTAGTTAACAGCGAAGGTGCACACTTGTAATGCCATAGAGATTATGTAAACACTTGTATTCAGAATACTTGGCGTAAATTTCGCGTCGAGATCCACCTTTTCCTCACTGTAAGGGACCATTTGAGGAAGCTTGAAAATACGTCAGCCCTAAAGGCATAAAACCCAAACCACTCACGTAGGAGAGGCAGCATGAGCATTGTTCACAACATACAGTAAGCATCCAAAGTGTACAATAAATTGACCGGTAACAGTTAAAAGCGTATAAGCGTTGAAGATGTTGCTTAGCGGCCGTTGTTTTGATAACGTTTTTAAAGGCTGCAACAAAGGTAAATGTATAACATAACGCCACTAGGTAGTTTTAAAAAAATAGGTACCTTGGAGCGAGAGACGAATAGGAAACAAGCTGCAAGAAGTAATCCTTGAATCGTAGCTTGAGTATCACTGAATTTGACACCATCCATATAAAGTGCTGACAGTGAGTAGGCAGACACCAGGGCATTCAAAGCAAGTATTTTGAACATTTGTAAAGTTGTCACCAAAGTGCATCGGCCTTGTTTGATCACATGGCATACTGGAACGAAACTGATCAGAATGGATTTGAATGCGTTCGTTACGCTCCTTTCATTGCAAAATAGAATTGGATGCTAAAAACGGCGTAAATGGCGCACTATCTATCACATAAACATGATCCTGGTGTCGAATCTCAAAACAATATGCGCCTTGGCCAACCTGGACTCTTAACCCTCCGAGTTCGCTTAATTGGTTCTAGACTCGTCTGAGAGTGTAAAAGTACTAATTTGTATATTGGCTGGCTATCACCCTTTGCATAAGCCATACGAATTAAATAGGCCGTATGCAGAGACGCATCCTAAAACAAGATTGATAAACGCCACAGACTTCATCCTAATCCTGAACATCGGTCGCACACTCTTCAAACCACACCCGTAACAGCTCCAAACGAAATTATTTTTTGGCAAGGTTGCCGACCCACACACTACTGCGACCTTAAGCTTTGGGATCCCAAAATCTGTTCCATCTTTCTCAGCGGTTGCGTTTCTGCACAGCATAAGTACATCCCATCTGATTCACAAAAGATTGAACTCTACTGGCACTACAAAGGGTATGAGCTGATATTACACGTTTCTGGATAGTTGGATTTTTCAACTTTGAAAGTATCCAAAGGATAATGTGGAGACTAACAAATGCAATATAAGCAACGTTTCTTTGGGTATGACAAGGGTCCTCCAATAAAGGGCGAAAGACTGAAGTCCAACGGCTTTCTTTAATCCCGCTGCTGGGATGCACACCCGAATTCTACATACTTCCATTCAGAGTCGTATTAGCATTTTGAATGCGCACATGGCCTATGTAATGACTTGCGATGGCCAACCGTACAAGACCTTGCTTATCCCCTCAGACAGGTGTGGTACCAATAAACCTATCAACATTAAACGAACACGGAGGGGTGGAAGGGCTTGATCGGCCCTGGTAGCATCGACTCGGTATGCGATCGCTGGACCACTCGTGTGTGACAGTGCTCGACTTGCCACAACAACTCTGTCCATCAAATGTATGTAAACAAAAAAAAAGAAGCGGTACTCACTCGAAGCAATGCTGGTATACTTAGATGTAAAGGGAGCAGCAATAGATGCGTCCCCAAGTCTTGTAATCGTTGCTCGCTCTTCTTCTTCCAGTTCCTTCATGAGCTTTTCCAGCTTGTTTTGTGCATTTACCACAGAAGGGTGTGTACTTCTGAAAAAAGGAGTTGACACAAGCTGTCTTCGGTATGATATGGCCAACAAAACGAGAATAAAGCCGTCAGCTTAATACGATTTTCGATCAAACTGTGTACCTGGCCCTAGCACCGGGAGGAGCTTCTCCGCGTCTTCCCACAGCGTTTGGTATACCCGCTGGTGTGGGAGGAGCTGCACCCATATGCATGAGACGGCGCGCCTCGTCGATTTTCTCCTTTTTCTCTTTTTCCTTTTGCTCAGCCTTTGTAGCATCATAGGGATGCGATAGTAAAGCGACACCTAAATATATAGTTCCAGCCATCAAGACAACAGCTGTTACCGAAAATCACCCCTGTGATGTAAGCTTGCCATGAAACAAGTAAGAGATATATGAGGCAAAATAACATACCGACATTGGAATGTTTCAGGGCACCTACATCGTTGGTTCCATCACCACACATCAATGTTATCCAACCGAGAGATTTGTATTCATTAATTACACGTTCCTAAACATCAAAAACTATTATAAAAATAACCTGGCGATCCGCCAACTTCTTCGTTTAGAAACGCAAAAAAAAATTTCAACTTCGTCATTACCTTTTGTTTAGGAGCCATTCTAGCAAAAACTCGAACGTGCATAATGATGTCCCGTAAAAATTCGGGCTCACTATTCAACAAATATGCAAATGCCTGAAAAGGGAATGGATAAAACAGGAAAGAAATTTCGTGTGAGAACAAAAGCTCTAACCGGTCCAGTGAGACAGAATTCATTTTCCATGAAGAACTTTTTCATCTGCTGCTTATTGGTGTACGGGATGAGGTCGTATTCTACAGATTCATCCACTGCCTTAAAGAGTAAAACAGAATTTCCATAGAAGATTAATGAGAATATCTTAAAAGGTAACCTTCCACTTCCACGGTGCGGACTTATCCATTGGCTCATCCAGTACTAACGTGGGAACCTTCTTCCTGATGAATTTCAGAACCTTAGCTACATTGCATGCCGTCAATGGATTATCACCGGTCACCATGGCCACCTGCAGCGTTCACCATGAATTATCAACAGTTATAGACTACAAAAACACCACACAAGGTAAGAACCAGAAAATCACCTTATGGGAACTTTCCACAATCTCCTTGATCATTGCTTTAGTGTCCGGTTTGAGAGGACAAGATATAACTACGAATCCAGCAAATCGCAGATTTGTCTCCAAGACTTCCCTTTTGGTATCTCGCAGCTTAAACTAATCATAAAGTCAAATGTCAACACTGATTGATTAGTCCCTCACCTCTCCAAGCCTCGTTTGAGGTAGATCTTTAATGCCCATAGCGAGAACACGAGCCCCTTGTCTGGTGAGATTTGTGTAAACCTCATCGTAATCCTTGGGGACATTCTCATACTGTAAAGACAACATTACAAAAAAGTAACGTAGCTACTAATTAATGCATACAAACCATAGATCTCAGAGTTTCTGGGGCTCCTTTCACTGCAACTATCATCTTTGGCTCTTGGAAGCCCGGTATTTGATATCCAGCGACTACTGTCATTCGTTTCATTGCAGAGGAAAAATGATAACGGTGGAAAATTTTCAGGCCAGTCAACTTGGATCCTTTCGGTGGCAGAACAGCATCTCCTTAAGTGACTCTCGATTAGCACTCAGTAGTTTCTTCGGCATCACATATTTTGAATCAATGGAATTAGGACATTCTCAGTCAACATAAGCACCTTTAGTGAGCGACCAATCGCACCATGTTAGGCAAGCTTTTTCCAGGGGATCGCCAACGAGATCATCATCAAATCGAACGAGACTATGACAACAAGCAAGGACCTTAAGCAACACAGCTTCTAAATTTAATCGAATCGAATTAAAACTAACTTTAATCGAAATGTGCTTCGCATCTCCACATCAATCAAAGAAAGCGAATGGGAACATTTGTACCTGTATGGATTCTAACGGGACGTCAGCAACCGCTTTCAAAATACCATTCTCTTCACTAGAGCTGAAACAATAGAACCTAGAGGCAAAACAAAATTGACCGAAGAAACTAGCATCTCATACCTGAATGCGATTCCCTCAACGACTAAGTTGTCAGTGGTAAGCGTCCCAGTTTTGTCAAAACAACAAATATCAATTTTGCCAGCAAACGGAATTCGAAAAGGTTCGGTACAAAATACTCCTGAAAAACAAGCAGCATGTTACCTATCAGCTATGTTATCATCGATATATTACCTAGCTTTTGAAGAGCGATCAATGAGGTGTTAACAGCCAGTGAAAGTTCTATGGGTAATTCAGGAGGGATAACACTGGTCAAAATAAGTGTGCATTCCAAGAACAGCTTATATTTGTTACGCTTTTCATCCTGACTACCTGAAAAGTATGGAAATAAGGAAGTCAGGAAAAAGAATCACAGGGACAGTTCTAGCTATGAACTTACCCACAACCCAGAGATAACCAGCGGCAGCAATTGCAAAAATTAGTAAAAATAGAATAAAGCAAAACGTCTCGAGGTTATTCGCAGTGACTCGCTTTACACCAAACATTATCGTTCTAAAAACAGCAACATGACAGGGCCATCGATTGAATGGCCAGCGTGTCCTAATGGCGTATGGCTGGTGGGAATATCGGTATCAATACTATTGAAAATGGCATCAAACCTTAACAGTTTTCCTTGACTAGTGTTAAATCCTGTTCTTAGTACACAACAAATACAGCCATTATCCGGTCCTTTCAGACCTTCTACTCCCTTTCCTGAAAAAATTCTGTTCAGTATTACAAAAGCATAAGTGTCGTGAAGCTCCTACCCGGAGGAGTGTGTTGAACAATTTTGGTCCCGCCGAAAATCACATGAAGGCGGCTGTCTACATCGATATCAAAGATTCTGTCTTTTTCGAGATCTTCGATAGGCTCCTAAAAGAACAACGTAGCGGAAGATAAAAGGACAAGGTTTAACGCAAACAATCAATGCAAGCCGTTCAAATAAACACAATAGAACCTGCCTTCATTTGAGGTACAGACTCTCCTGTGAGCATGGATTCGTCAACAATACACGGACCTCGTAATAGAATCATGTCACATGGTACAGCCTGCTCATCGGAAGACCGCCCTAAATAATCGCCAAAGTTGATTCAAAACTGATCAAGCATAAAGTTACATGGTAAGATTGAGAGATAAATCGAGCTGTTTAGATGATAAAAGAGGAAATAAAAGAGGCGAGGATCTCTCGAACAAAAGTAATGTTAGATTTGAACGAAGTTCTGTTCATTGAGCCAGGTTTCCTTTTGTGAAGATTAAAGGTTGAGGAGGAAAAGCAACATGATAAAGATTTCTAATGAAATTGAACTTGATATCAAACAGTGCGACGTTCTACTTTTGTCCCCAAGCACCCCTATAACAGCTTCCTTTTTGCAATCTGCTACCTTCAAGAGCAGCAGGCGAGCAAACGCGCAGAAATGGGGAAAAATTTCTTAGCGACATTTTGAATAGCTTCAAAAAATTGTAGAAGCTTAGCATTCGAAGCTTCTATAGAAAATTAGTTGCAAACTTACCAATGGAAACAATGTCACCCGAGACAAGTTCGTCTGACTTCACCTTTGTCCATTTTTGATTCCGATACGTCTGAAAACGATGGGTAATTTCGGAAAATCCCAAACTAAAGCACTATTGCTACATACCTGAATCATGAATGGCTTGTTTCCCATGTTTCGGATTTCCTGCATATTCTTCAGCTGAGCTTTCACTAGGGTGGCCTCGAACGTCATCAGCATGAACAGCGTGAATAGAGAATAATACCACATATCTTCTAGACACCAAAGACCAACGCAGAACACCTGAGGTATCACCAATATAGAGGGATAGAAAAGACTATTTCGAAGCAGTAAATAAATACCAAATTGGGGAGGTTTGTTACAGATTAAATATTCTATTACATGAGTTAAAATCTAATTGAATTAATAACTAGTGGGCATGACTTATCTGTACCTGAAAAACGAAGAACGGAGCTGTTGCCCTCTCTTTAAATAGATCCCAAAACTGTGGTATCACCATTTCTGTCCTGAAAATAATTTCAAATCTGCTTGTAAGAGGAAAGAGAGAATGATATGGAAATGGGATTAGTGCTATGAATTCCTATTCATCGACTGTCCATGCTGGATTGACCAAGTTTTACCAACTGGAAAGAAAAAAAAACTAACTTGTTATCTCCCAGAAGATATTTGATCTCTCCCAGTTGATCGTCGCTTTCGATACCTCGAGATTGTTGATAGTACTTCATTGGCTTACGCGAATCGAATATAACTGTTTTGAAAGTGTTTGTGGCCTCATCCAAAGTATAATGAACTTTTTGAAACTCAAACCAAATCTTTGTACTGCCAGCTCTCTAAAATGTTCCATACTGTTCTGGCAATGAAAGATACAATGCCCATATTTATCAAATTTCCTACCTGCGTCCTTCTAAGGGGAACCAACTCAGCCCATCCATTATTAGGCGTTGGGACAACTTTGGCTAGAGTTGATTTTCGTGGATCTTTTTCCTGGAATTGAATTGTTCTGTCATAATCATTCGATCATTTTATAGAACTTTCTTTGCCGATTTTGGATTCCACCCTTTTCCATTTCCTATTCTAACAGACTATTTTTGCACTTCATCGTCCTAGTCGTTCTTAAACTACGCGATTTTCATCCCGACGGTTCCATTTCTTAGCCTAGTAAATTGCACCAAATAACTTTCACTCCTACACCCTCTCGAATGTCCTCTTCATTCTGTTTCCGGAGCTCTCCTTACCCAAAATTACTTCCTCTGCGATCATCTTCCCCTATAAACTGCATAGTCTTCCATTTGTATCCACCTTTACTTTTAGTATTCCTCATCAAAATCCATGGGCAACCAATGTACCATCTCCCCTTTCACTGTTGAATTCCTTTCAGACACATCCATTCATTATCTTTCGGCCATATGCAAATCATATGCAACATCCGATAAGCCCAGGCAATAAACTCATACACATAAGCTGCAATTCCCATGACCTGCCCGATAAGCCGTCATTACGAATGAACTTATTACTGACAACAAGTACAGAGGAACTTCTACTCCGGCCATGTGTAAACAAATTAGTGACAGAAGCTCACCTGTATGCAGGAAAGTGCGCATTTAACACCGACGAACCAGTGACAAAACAGAATTATGAGAGCTTGTATAAGACAGATTATAGCTGCTCCGATGAAACCAAGTTCATAGTACTCGTCAGCACCGTAAAACGACAACCACACGTAGAACCAACTAGCGTATAACACTGAAAACATCAATAAGAATGCTTCAATACGAAGCATTATCATGAATTGTTTGCCCTGCTCGCAGAACAAGAGAGAGCATCGGAATCTCGTAAAGACAGTAGTTAATTCTAAAAAGACACCTCGTAATCTAGGCCATTGGAATGGTTGACGCTTGAGGGACCAAAAATGGACCACAAAACTGGTTTCAAGAAGTACCCGCCGTTTTTAGAAGGCATAAACCCATTCTTTGTGGGAGAATGGATATCCCGAAGAGGCTCCTGAGACTTTAATAGAGCCAACTTCATTCAGAAGAGCTCCATGCCAGTTTTTCAATCAAGTACGGGCTTTGAGGCACGAGAAAAAACTAAGGACTGTAGCCGACAAATTTAGCGAGAAAGAATGAAGTTCTATCAATCGAAAAGGCTGTAATCTGCACAGGAATCCCTATTTATACATACCTCAGAAAATTCCTCTGCAGTCAGTTTTTTTTAAAGTTTCTTCATTTCAAACCCTAATTTGACCTCAAGCTTACCTCCAAATGGAGCTGCGTACAAATGAGCCCAAAGAGGTCGGCTTCGGTACGTGGTGACCGACTCCACGAGTGCGTCCACCGCCATGCCGTTTAACCTAAAAACAAGATTAGCTTTCCGTTTGCAAAAATTAAGAAACACAACGTAAAACTCCACGTCATGTAAGCAATATGTAAATAAGCAATGGGTAGAGAAAAGGTAAGTATGAGCAGGGGACGAGTTTCCCCCTTATTCTACTGTAAGTCCTTGAGTCACAACTTGCATAGACGAAGCATTGTTATATGGCAATCAATAAGGACTGGAATAAAATCGATGGGAATGAATGCGTTCCATCTGTGAATGGCATTAATTGACATCAAACAGCAGTTTAACAAACGCGCTCTAGCGTAGTGGCGCTGCGGCTGCGTCACGGTCTATGCAAATCACGTTGGTTCCCTTATCCGTAGTTTCGATCTTTTGAAGTTTTTCTTGTTTTGGTTTATATGTGAGGGTGGGTTTGCCTATAATCTGCCATTTGTGGATTTACTTAATCCTTGCTTGGGTTACTATTTCAACGGAATCTTGCTGCTAATTCTTATCAAGTTACAGCTTGCTCGGGATCTCTTGAAGGATTGTGGAGTTTGGTTTGCCCATTCTTGGTTTTATTGCTTTCTACACACTTTTTTTCTCCCTTTTGAAACATTATGTAGACCCTTTTATACGAGAAACTGTTGTCACATCCCTTTACATCTTTTTTTGAGTCCCTACAAGCCTTGATCCGAAACCTTTTCTTTTCATTTAGCAAAAGTACTCATGTGAAATGCTTGAAGCTTCGATTTGACTTTGTCATTTCAGGAATCTAAGGGATGCCCAACTTTTAAGAGTTTTGTTGAAGCTCTGACCTTCCTGCATCAGCCTCTATACTGCTGAAACCTGCTTGCCCTCACCTTCTTAATGGCTTATACGCCATAGCTTATCAGCACTCATTCGTGTAACTTGATAAGCTGGTCAGCCAATATCAGCATTGAACCGCTAAGATGCTAGCCTTCTTCTTATAACAGTAATGATCCTCGGCAGTGTAAGAGATAAGGAGCACTAACCCCGGAAAGCACAAGCATGGGTTCGAGTCCCGTCCGGGGCTGAAGTTTCGCTAATAGCTCGCCCTTCCTGTGAGAGTTTCACATCGCCTACTTCGGCGAAATAACAGCAGTTAACAAAGACATGATTTCGAAGTAAGGGTCGCGTTTAGTACGGCCTTTGAAGGTTAAAAACTGGTTAGTCGTGACATTGGTCCCATTGTTTGGAGGGAAAACACTTATCTCCCCTTGCTAATGGTGATGTCAAATTCACAAGGGGAATGCTCATGTCGACATGTTGGTTTAACCGCTATTTCGTTGATCAATAGATATCTGGGTCATGTCGAGTTCGTTCACAGGTAGGACGTAGTCACAACGCATATCATTACCATTTCAGTGTTAGTGTCAGACGGGTTCCATTAAGTGTTCCACGCGACACATAACTCCACTGATGGCGGTCTCCACGACTTGGCTTCTCAGCCTTCTTTTTGTCAACCAAGTGGACATACGAACGTATTTCAAACAATTCTTTGAAGCTTGTCCTCTTCATACCCCTAGTTTCGCTGGCGAGCTTGCATAACCCTTTTGGTCGGCTTTAGTCGTAGCTTCAAATTTCGTTTCATTGGCTCAAGTCATTCTTACAATTAGTCTTCACAATGGAATGGAACTCTCTTAGAAAGTAAAGAGGGAGCCTCGACAATGCGGTATTTGGGAATTATTACATAAAATCAGGGCTCTTGAACGAGTCTCTGAAAGCTGGCTGCAATACAAGCTTGCCTGGTTTCGTACGCTTGGACAACTTGTTACGACAACCGACAGCCATAAGAGAAGGTGTTTTGCCTTTTCTCGGGTCCAAGAGCGAGACGCTCAATGGCTGTTCACTTCAACAAGTGGTCTGCGCCTATTTCAGAGCATTGTGTTGGGGTTTTGTTGTTACTGGTAACCACCCAATCCCAGCTTAGTGTAAGAACTCCATTCATTGCACGTGAAAGACCGATTTTTCGACGACAGTTAACTACTCGATGCACCTACATGTCTATTCATTTCGTTTAATGCATCATGATTACTTATTGAAAGCGTTTACTGATTGGTTGACCGACTACTACGTCGCATAATTTTTTAAATTTTTGTTCGAGGTCTTATAACACGCATTCTTTCTGCCGATTTCTCGATCCATGTTTTCTAGCTCGGCTATTTCGAGTTCATGCCTCACCCATGCATATTCGATCAGTCCACTATTTCATGCGCTCGGGTGGCGGCACTATTCAAATGTTACTGTGTAGGCTCCACCTTCGTCTTATGAAAAAGTTAATGTACTGTCTTCCTTTTAGCTTCCTTTCGCCATTTTTCAAAGCCATGCTGCTTACTGATTTGTAAGCCCGAAATCACTGGAACTAATATTCTTTGCTGCCGCAGATTTCATGCGTTAGTTTCATCATCTCGTGCCACTCTAACAGGTGCTATAATATGACGCAATCTGACGGTGCCAATTGACAGTTCATAACTCGCTCTTTTGTGACTTTCTAGTCTCACTCGTTACACATGTGCGATTTGCAAGATGGATCCAGCTGTTTTCTTCTTTTTCATTAGTTGTCCAAATGCTCATCCTCGTGACAAGAGGAGCAACAAAACTAGAACTGCATTCATAACTCATTAAACACGAAAATAAACCTTGATAATCTTCTGCCAGCGCCTTCAGTCAATGATCATTCGAAGCGCACGTTCGAGCGAAGTTGGTTGGAGAAACAAGGTTGCTGTCGTTATAGTTGCAGTAAGTGTAACTGTTTCCACAGGCCTGTTTGGTTCGTGGCCTTTTATTCCCCTCTATTGAATTTTCATATTTGGAATCTTTTGTTTACAGAGGTGATAATGAGAAATCCTTTTTTTTTNCCCCCCCCCCCCCCCCATCTCAAGTGCCTTACATTACTTTTTGAAATAGTTAGATTGTTCTCCCACAAAATCTGCCCACTCATACATCGCATTTGGAACGCTAGACAATCCTGATTACTGTGACCGCTCTCGCTTCACTTACCTGTACCCATATCATACACAATATCTTGTCTAGTGAACTTCACACTTCCCACTCATTGTATCAAATTCTTTTTGTACGCGGTAATGTTCAGGTAGTAAACAGTTCGTTATGCATTCAAAATCGCCAAAACGGCAGCCGATTGTGAGCTAAATGAAAATTGGATAGGCTACGAATCACCGTTTGTTGTTACTTATAACTCGTTAAGCAACTAGTAGCATTGTTCTTATTTTCTTGCTGAACTTTATTCGAAATTGCTTTTATGGATAGTGATTTATCAAGAATGTCAAATAAACGACCTTCTTACTAACTCAAGACGAGTAGCCCTGATAAATGGCGTTTCGAGTATTGGCGCGTTTACTCGCCAATATTTTTCTTCTCCTATTTTAGTTCGAATAGCTTGTGTAAAACATGCTGAGCTCCAAATGCAGCAGTTAGGGGTTCATCCCCAGATCTTTTTCCTAACTTCTTGCCTGTTTCTTCGTAAATAAGGGTTCCTTCAAGGATTTTATCTATTTTTATTCCTTTTCACTATTTTCCTCCCTATCACCCTTTCAACGTGAGTTTTATTTGAAACATAGCCCTGTGGAGATGTAATTGAAAATGTGTATGAAATACTACCATAGATTGACCAGGCTGACAACTTGCTTCACTGCACTCTCGCTAAATTTGTTCTTGGTTGCCCTATCGTTGAATTTGTTTGTGGCGAGTGCGTTGCCATGGTTCAGCTCTCAATTTTTCATTTTTGTTCGGATAGCGCTTTTTTAAACTGTGTTGTAGGGGAGATGAATCTTTTCCTTTTTGTAGGCTCAAAAATGTCGAAAATGGGATGTCCTCAGTCAGACACTGATCCAAACACTGTGACGATTCTTCGTAAAGGAGGGCCGGTGAACAAAACTTTGAAGTCAAATGCGGTACGTCAAACATAATTATTTCCCAAAAAGTCTTTTTATCCTTCCTTATTGTCAATGTCAGGTTTGGTTTTGCGGCCATTTTTCATAGATTATTCTTCAAAAATTTTCATTCTGCTCACCTTCAGGCTTCATTGCTGCCGCTTTCCTTGTCTTCCCTTCATTTCGGTGAAGTGCCCGTGTTATTTCTTGTTTATTCAGCATTTTTTCAATCCAGCCTTATGATTTCCTATTTTTGTCCTTGCTGTTCAATCTTCTACTATTTCTTGTTACTTCTTGTTCGTACATTGATTCCTTTTCTCTCTTCTTTTGTCCTTCTTGTTTTTCTTCCAGTGAGAAGTAGGGTAGGCCTCCATCGCTATTTATTTCAACTTCTTGAGTTCGTTTTTAATATAGTTTGGTTTATCCCTTTTCGACTTCGTCCATTTTTTGATCTACAAAGGTTTTTTCATTTTGCTGCATTAAGTTTTAGTTGTTTTGCTTCCTAATACCACTTTCGATTGTTCTACTGTTCACTTGACTGTAGCACCATTTTGTTTTCACGGACCTCTTTTGAGTCATGCCCTCACAAACATACATCGCAGAGCTTTGTAAATATGGCATGTTTGGGTCAGGGAGTTGACCCGATTCTGAGGCTGCATGTAGCGGCTATGATTATCACATTACCAAAAACTTGTTGCATCGTGGACTTTGGTGTCAATGCGTCATGTGTGTGCAGTAGAAATGGTTTATGGTCGTTGCATTGGTCTGTTGATTATTTCATTTTCGGCGAGCGGAAAAACCATGAAAGAAGTGACTGTATTTCTTTTATCAAGGCCAATGTTAACGGTTGAATGTGGTAGAGAATCAATATTCAAGTTGTTTCAATTGTCCGATTATCATACTTTTTATCGATACTTGCTTTTTAAGGCCCTAAATGCTGCCCTCCGTACTGGTGCTGCCGTTGAATCTCAAAAGAAGATGATGGCTGGTGGAAATCGCCAACATACCAGCAACAAAAACACTCTAAGGTGAATAAATGAATATTTCTGCAAACCCCCAAGCAGATTGTGATGTCACTAGATGGACATGGGTTTTCAAGTCGAGGTAAAAAGTTAGGCCATGTCAGAGTTCAATAACGAGCACCAGGGGAACATTGACAAAAGTTCGAGACGGTGTTGGATGACATCGGTACTGTACTTAACTCACATGACTAAATGAAAAGTACAACGCATAACCCTCATAACCGGTGTACGTGCAATGCACTTGGAAACGTGCACTATTGATCGGAAATAAGGCATTGATTAGTTTTTACACACCAATCAGAGATGTTTGAACTTTGAATGATGCAAGTTATCACGGGCATGACAGAAAAAGTTCGAGGCTCATATTTTCAGCTTTTTGGGTTCATTTGTTGCAAAACCCTCGACTAATGACTTTTCCGTGTTATTTGTTTTCCACATTTTTTTGGGTCAGAATTTAGCGATATTTGGTATTCAGACTTGATGAAGAAACGGAAGAACTTCATCACGAACGAGTTCCCTTGTCATTAGGAAAGGCGATGCAGCAAGCTCGTCAAGCCAAGGAATGGACCCAAAAGGATTTGTCCACCGTAAGTCGTGCTGAGTACGACTTCGGTTAGCTTTGTGGTCATTTATCTCTTTTCAGGCGATAAATGAAAAACCGCAAGTGGTGGCCGAATATGAGAACGGAAAGGCTGTCCCAAATCAGCAGATCCTCGCGAAAATGGAACGCGCTCTGGGGGTAAGTCATAAAAGGAAGATTAATTGAACCTTTAGAGAGTAATTGTCCTGATTCGATTAAAATTAAGTACATTGCAGTGCGTGAACAGAACCGGTTCTTGATTGACCAGCTGTAGGCTCTACTGTTCTACTTATTTTGACACTTTAGGTGAAACTGCGCGGCAAGGACATAGGCCAACCGTTGGGTACCAAACATAAGAAGTAAACACAAATAACTCGAACAATTGAATGGAATTGCTTGTGTTTTGCATTTTTACCGTGTTCTAACACATCTGTTACTATTGCCGTTTTTTTTGTTTTCACCCAGTGCGAGTATATGTTTTAATGGAAATATATTTGTTGTTACCGAAATAAAATTTAGTTATGCAAGTTCTTTTTGAATGATAGTCTTCCGAGAACAAACTTCCTGTTTTTTTACATTTTTGATGGTCATTTTTTTGGTCAGATGAAAGCGTGGTTTTTCAAGTTCTCCTTATCATCATTTAATGTTTGTTTGTGATAATCGGTATTTATAAATACGAATTAAATGGTCAGCCAGATGATGATGTTTGTTATTGTCGCTGTAACAGGGCCCTCTGAACAACTGGCCAGCAACAGTGACGTTCCACTCAACCTCCAAATAAATTTATTGGTTGGTGTGGTAATGAAGAACTGAGATCAATCACAGATAACCGCACAGGAGGTTCAGTTAAAAATTGGAAGAATTCTTGATACCGGTGAACCTGTTATATGAGCGAATGCGAGTTCAAGGAAGTGTCATCTTCAGATCATTCTCTTACACCCTGTAAGGTGGTCCTCATTTTTCTAGAGCATTCTGGGAGAGTTTTATGATATTTTGTTTTGCTGAAAACCTCTACTTTTTTTTACAAAGCACATATTATCCCGCACACTGCCCTCGAGAAAGGGATTCGCAATGGCAGCAACTAGACTGCCCTTGATAAGGTGCGGTGACGTTGTGCATCGCTCCTTCCGCAGCGTCATTCATTGCACTGTGGAAACGGCTATGCTGGAAGTTTTCCTTTAACCACAAATGCAGAGGGGAATCCAAAGTCCCGTGCTACCCCAAAAAACGAAAATCACGGAGGTCGCCGCCTAGACCAAGGAATCGAAGACCAGGTGGGCCTAACAAGTTATGCGACATAGGGGTGACCGAAACTGAATGAATCGCTTGGGACTTCAAATCGAACATCAGGATGGACTTCAAAACGCCAGAGTACACTTCTTCACAGTAGAATAGTACATTTCGTGACCCTCGAACGAGGACGATCTACTGGACTACTCCAGCTCGCGGCAGGGAGAACTGAAGACTTTTCTGACGAACGCTTGAGGAAATCGATGATCAACAGGACAACAGGTGATAGTGGGAGTGCGATGACGCTACTTCAGTTTGTTTACCCGTCCAAAGAGTGATCGTTCCCTGAAGCTGGCGAAGTACAGCGATACTGTAGATAAAAGTGTATGTTTGCCAAAACGCCTATATTTCTATATCTGTTAACGGGAAAAAATTGACAAGATGTGACCGTTGGATGCCCACATGGATGGATAGCACTGATTCTCCCCAGCCAATGTACCTAAGGGTACGAATTCTAATAAGATGCGTATCCCACTAGCTCTTTTGAACTAAAGAGAGATGAAGATGTAAGATAAAATATGTAAAACTTTACTAGACCTATACGAACATATCAAATTAACAAATCACTAAAACTAGCTGGCAGGCTTTGCTGATTCTACTTCAATGTATTTAATGAGATCCGCTCGCTCGTCGGCTTTCTTCAATCCAGCGAACACCATCTTTGTTCCAGGGATGTACTTTTTAGGATTCAGGAGGTACTCGAACAATGTTTCACGCGACCATATTACTCCCTAAAAACGACAACTCATTCAGTGCTGTGAAAACGGCAAAAAGAAATGATGAAGTTGAAAACCATGCAGAAAAACATAAGCCTCAAGCTAGTACTCGGAAAAACGCTCGACAACTGACTTCGTTACGAAATCTAGCATAAAGTCATGATGAAATGTAGCACTTTTTGACGAACCTTGTTTTTGTTGGCGGCGGAGTAATCGAACCCTTCGACTGTTCCAGATTTACGTCCAATGATTCCGTGAAGGGTTGGGCCAGTCTTGGTGGCTTTCGAGTCGACAACGTGACATTGAAGACATCTCTGCTTGAAGACCTTTTTGCCCTTCTCATAGTCTCCCTCGGGAATATCGCCCATAGTTGCTGCCTTCAATTGAAAGACTGGTTGATATGAAACAAAAAGGGAAATGAGATGAATTCAAGATTGTGACACAAGAGTGAGAGATGAAGTCATTAGTAAGAGTAGGAGTATTACGCAAGTTTTTCCCATGGATGGCACCCCGTCCACATCTCCGACAAGGGCGTGGCCACGGGCGGTACGACAGAGGGGCGGTGCGACAAAACGTAGAGACGCAGAGGAAGTAAAAATAGAATTGAAACAAGCAAATTTTCGTAAGTATTAGCGGATAACCACTTCATATAAAACATGAAAATAACACCATAACAATTTATTCCATAACAAACAACAAGACGCAAATTACGCAAAATGAGTGGTTGGGCGCCTGGTCGTGAACTGCGACACGTTTCTTCTCTTGGTGACACGGTGAGGCAATGGGAACTTGATCTTCGAATCGTGGAACATCTTGACTCCAACCCTCTTGGTGTCAGCTGCCTTCACAGCCTGAACCTTAAGGATATGGATACGATCAGCCTGAGCACGATGACGAGCTCCCATATCCCTGTAGGCTTGAGTAACTGCTCCAGCCACGGTTACATCACGATACTCTCTGTACATATTGTGATGTCCGGTACGAGAATCGTATTTCAGCCACACGCCATAATTCTTCACTGAACCGGCTTGTTTCTTGGGGAAGATCTTAAAGTAATATTCATGATATCTACAAGCACTAACACAAAAACAAAGACTGGAACATGATAAATACCTGCTTACAAGACAGAATCTCGCCATTTGCCTTTTTCACTCGACGAAGCATAGAGACAAAGTACCAAAATCGAGACTTAGCAATAACGTGATTGGAAGCGAAAATTTGCATCTTCCAGATAGGGGTCACTGGCTCCTTCTCAGTTGGCAGCTTACGACCGACGACCATGTACTCCTTCAGAGTCTCTCCCAAAGCTTTCGTCGGCATCTTACAGACTAAATAAGGAATAATATGGATGAAAACTACGAACGATTGAGTAGTTGACCCAAAAAGCTGTGGAGATTACATTCTTAAGCGGCTTCGTAGGGTAACGAGGTACGGCGAATTCAAAACAACACGATAAAAGTTTAAAACTAAAAGCTTTAATTAAAAAGTAGTGGGGAAGTTATTCTTTCCACATACACGCATCAAGATTGCGCGTAGTGTATATAATTCAGTGCTGAATCGTGTTGCGTGTATTGCTACCGTAGTTTGCACTCAATCTATGTCAGCACATTTCGTGCGCCAATTCGCACGGTTGTTGGCACAACGTTTGACTTCCGCCAGCTTCCCGTTAAATGTGAGAACAATTTGTTTAGGAGGTAGAGGGTTTCATAATGGTTGAGTGGTGCTACAGTTGTTAGGGAGCAAAACTAGTCATCGCTGATAAGTTCTATCATGTAGTTGGGGCGCTCTGCGTTTAACGAGTTTTCTCCTTGAACCGCTTTCCAATATGCTTTCTCGGTGGCTTTGCAATAAATAAGAATAAGGGGAGGATTGCACATGACTAGAGCCAGTTGGGGAAGAGTGCATACGGAATGTGACTTTGTCTCATAGAGATGCCTCAAGGAGTTTCTAACATGTCTCAGGAGATATAGATCCACGTTATTTTCTTCAAAATTCGTTTTATGGGATCCACTAAGTGCTGACTATCCGGCAGTCTTCGAAAACAAATAGAAATATTGGCCATACTAGCAAGAAAATGAGTGGGCATGACTGTACATAGTATGTTTTGTAGCTATACCGTGGTTGCTTCAAAGACCTATTGAGATACTACTTGCTTCCTGTTGAAAATTTAATTTCCATCTCTTTCGCTTTGTTTTAATGGGCTTATCGAGATCTCGAATATTGCGATGACGGTGAATCTTGTTTCAGGGTCGGGATGATAGCTAGATATCGGGACATTGGTCGTTTCCTGCTTGAGGTATCCTGTAAATCATCGCAGCATTGTTCTATAGCTGGAGCTAGTTCAGCAGCAAAAGCTCACGAAGGAAGTATCATACATGTAGAAGAACGATTTCAAGCGGTTCCACCTCCAAAACGGAATAAAGAGTCTTTTATGGCTGCAATTGGTTAGTTTTTGTTCTACCTGTGTTCAAAATGTTCTACATAACATACTGTGTTAAAGGGGAAGTGTCTGCCGGAAATTTCGCGATGGCCCAGACTTCTCCCGGAATGTTCTTTTCTGTGACCTTTCATGGGGTTTCTGTGTAATGTAAGGACATTACCCAACAGGACGTATACGCACAGCCTATCCACCTACCTCTTCCCTGCTTATTCAACCACGTAATGGCTAAACTGTTTGCCTATGTCTAACGCCTACTTCTATGCGAGTTCCAATCCGGCCTTTCTGCTACTGAAACCCATTGAAAATTGGGTCAAGCGTTTACTCGAGGAGCCCCTTTGAAGAGGTTCCGTGCTCACCTGGTTCCAACGCTTCATACTTTGAATCAAAAAGATCGAAGATGAAGCTTGATCTGACCATCCGCTGCGGTGATGCATGGAATCCCCTGATATCTTACACTCCTACACCTGAGTATAGCTCTTTCCTTGTAGCTCTGTGGGAGCTTCCAGGAAGTTCCAGTAGAATTCTGGGTAATTATGAAGTTTTCGACTTACTTTCCGAATATACTGATACTGATTTGGGTAAAGAGGCAAGGTTTTTTTTGAACCAGTGTAATTTACCGTTATTTCAGCCAACTTCAGGGAAAGCAAGCCACGGGGACATGTGGAATTTATTACCACTGCTTTAAAATATTTGAAGGAATATGGTATTCATAAAGATCTCGAAGTGTACAAAGCCTTACTGAATATTTTCCCGAAAGGAAAAATGATTCCCCAGAATACCTTTCAAGTGGGTTTCTGCTTGATTTTTTGTTTGTTGATTTCATTTTTTGTGTTTCTAATAACATACAATTCAGAGGATATTTTTGCATTTTCCAATGCAGCAAAACTGCTGTGTCAAAGTTCTGGATGAAATGGAGTGGCACGGTCAGTAAGCAGGATCTTTTGTTTAATTTTTGCGAGGATTCCCATTTCCAGTATTGGCTAACAGCTATTTTTTTTTTTGCAAAAAAATTTAGAACTCCGTTGTGAGTTAATGTTTTGTACTTACCGTATTATTAAGTTAGGGAATACTTCAATAGCCGAATAATGCCTTCAAAATGTTGTCCTTTGAAGTTAACCGTGAGTTCTACAGGCGTACACCCAGACAAGGAAATCCACGACATTGTGGTGAATGCTTTCGGCGAGTGGAATTTTGCTACACGCAAGGTATAATTTGTAGAGTGTTGCTTCTCGTACGTGATCACGTTTGCCTGATGACATATCGAATTGAGCCCCTTTTTTCAGATTAAGCGGATGCTTTACTGGATGCCAAAGCTACGGTATTCGAATAAGTATCTAGACCGTCGCATTGTAGAAGGTAGTAGATCCCGATTTTGATTTTTGCGAGTTTTTTTCAAGTATTGATTGAGACCAAGTATGTGTTTGATTTACCAATGCTGTTTGTTTGACTGAATTCTGGGTCGTGTACGTTCATGGTCTTTGATTACTCGTTTGGTACTGATCCTCACACATTTTTCTTCCAGGAAAATCGCTGACTGCAGCCGAGCTTGCAGGCGTTGCTTTGAAAATGATGTGCCCTGATCCCGGTACTTCTATATCGTTAACGAGGGTGAGGTTCCTCAAACTTTGACTTTGTCAATACCAACTGTCAAGTGGACACACTCCAACAACCCGTTGTGAATAAGCCCTCTAAGTCGCACAAACTGCCTAGAGGGCTTCACTCATGAGCAAGTCGATGTAGAAAATACAGTGAATGAGGTATGTTTAGATAGCACCCACTGAAACGGAAAAGGATGCCTGGCTTGCTTTTGCCCAAAGTCATATTCAAAAGAATTTAGTCCGAGATCTTCCTGAGGATACAGAGGTTAGTGATTTAGCACCATGATTACTAGATTAACAGCAATTCGTAAATAATCCTTTGAAGGTGTTCATTGACGGTCCCCACACTGTGTACGTGATGGAACACCAAGTGCAATACATAACAATGACATGCACGCCCCTTTATCCTCCAGGCGACGAATTTAAACACGAAACGGTATGAGAATAGTACTTTTACCCTTTCAAAGAACCATTTGTCTGATTTTCGCTATAATACAGTTCGAAGAGGACTTCTCACATTGGTTCACAGAATGGAAAAATGAACGATACGAGAGGAAGACCTCAGTTCACGAACAAAAGCACGAAACAATTCTTGCCCTTGGTGCAATGCACAGGTAGGGGTGATTCTTTAACAGATGCCATATACGCACTCAGATGGTTATTGTCTCAGTGACAGAATAGGGTTTGGAATACCGTGACTTTTTAGGAATGACAACAAAACAGCATCGTTATGGTTGGAGCGTCTGCAAGAGGAAAACCCGAACTTGTCAAGGTTAAGACCTCGACTGAGGCTTGATCGAGGCGTTGAATATTCTGCTGAAGCTCAGCAATAATTAGCATCAAATTATGAAGAAATGGATTATTAATAAATTATTAGGATTGTAACTTTTTTTT